GATGTAAAGCGGGGAGAAGAATCATGGGGGGGGGGGTGAACGGCGTGCGGCGATTTCCAAACATCCATTTGTGCTGCTGCTGCTGCACCGATGTGAGAAGGGCCATCGAGCCTTGGTTTGATCTTTCACACAGCAAGCGCAGTGTTGCAACGGTGCACGCATAGATGCGGTGTGCGTGACTGGGGGACTCACAGCGCAGGCTTGACTCCTTGCGGCCAAATTACGGCCCGCGTATCCCTTACCCACGACCCACGACAAAGGGGGAGCCCATGCAAATGCCAACGTCCCCCCCCCCCCAAAATGCAATGCAAACCAGTACTGGCACAATGACGCAAGGCAAACGCCTCGGCAGCGCACGCGTACCACGGCGGTCAGGGGGGCGGCGTCCCGGCCTCACCTCCGTCGCACCACGCCACGCCCCCGCAGCGCATGTCGGTGCGCGCCAGCTCCTGCGGGGGGCCACCAGCCGCCGCGTCTGCCGCTGACAGCGTGAAAACGATGTCTCGCGGGGACACCTCGAGATCCGGGTCACCGCCATCCTTTTGTGGGGGGAGGCAGGGAGGGTGGCGAGACGTGGTCGCTGTGGGTTAATGCGGATGAAGATAGTCTTGAGGGGGCGGCTTAGCTGGCACGAGCCCATGCCCTGGACACACACGCATGCACACATGCACACAGGAACACACGCTCGCGCACACCCATACACAATCACATCTGCGCGCACATACACATGCACGAACAGTCACATGACACACACACGCACACACACACACACACACACAAACAAACACAGACATGCACACGCACACACACACACACACGCACACACCTGCGCCTCGATCCAGGACAGCTCAGCGTCCTCGTCAGACCGCCAGTTTATGCCCCTCGGCCCCGGCCGCGTCGCGTCAAACTTGTTGGGCAGCTCCTCCGCCAGCGGGAGCGCCGCCACCTCCCGCACAAACGTGCCGTCACGGCGCCACAGCTGCACGCGCGCCGGGAACCGGCCGCAGGGCACCTGCGGGGGGGGGGGTGCGTTGGAGATTGAGCACACCGGGGCAGGAAGCGGTGGATATGTGCAGGCTTGTATCTACATTATGAGGGATCAGTTAAAGCTTGAAAACTACAGGATGAAAGATCAAAAGATAAAGTGTTGTCAGGTGGATCAGAATACGCAGGCAAAAAGTACTTTGTGCGGCCGGGATGCTGGCAGGGCGGTGCGCGGGCTTGCCTCACCGCGTAGGAGAAGGGCCGCTCCAGCCAGCTGACCAGGAGCCACTCGCCGTCAGGGCTGGCGGCGGGGGGCGGTGCAGGCACGCGTGCAACAAGAGTCGGGGTCCGCAGGCTTGACTCACGTTCTAACGGTGGGAGAATGGACCGCTGACTTTCCACCTCACAATGCAGCACGACCAACAGGCCCCACACGGCTTGTTGGTGGGGACAAGGAAGCTCTGCCCCCTACCACCGCCGCGCGCAGGCTGCGCCGGCGGAGCCGAGTGGCACCGGGTCGCGCCCCACCTGGCGTCTACTTCCGTGTACAGCCGCGTCGGCGCGATAACCTTGGGCGGGCCGCCGCCTGCCACGTCCACCTGCACCAGCTCTGAGCTGCCATAGTACTCAAACAGGGCCGAATCGACCTCGTCCTTGAGCTGTAGGAGCGCACGGCGATGGCGGTGGTGCGTGCATAGATGGATTGAACGACGCTTTTCTGTTGATGCAGGCTCTTGCATTGTAGTCATAACTCAATTGTGGAGGTGGTTGGGGATGGGCAGGTCACGCCTCGCGCCGGCGTACAGCACGCGGCCTTGCGGGTTCACAGGGGTCAGCCCAGGGTTTGAGGGGGTCACCCAGGGCATGCACAGTGCAGGAAGAGGGGTCGAGCAGCTTCGTGCCAGCCCACGGAGCGAGCCGCGTCGGCCACCAAGCCCTGGATGGCGCGTCGAAGCCCGAAACCCGCAGACCTGGGCGCGAGGGCCACGCGGCGCACCAGGTCGGCATACGTCCGGTTCTGGCTCTTGCGGGCCGCCGTGTTGTCCTGCACCTTCGGTCCCAGTGGGGCCGGCGGCCGCTGGGGCGGGGAGCTGACGCCCTGAGTGATGGTGAGCGGTTCAGGGAGTGAGGCGCGGGCTGCGCGCAGTGGGGGGCGGCTCTACGGGCAGGGGCTCCACGCCTCGCGGGACGTCTTCTTGTGCACCAGCTTACCGCCCCCTGACAGGACATCGTTCCTGTCACAAACCGTCCCTGCACGGGGGCAGATGAGCCCCAAGCAGCCACGGCCATAGCAGTAGCTGTCGCCTCAGCCCAGGAGCAGGTGGGCTGGCCGAAAACCACAATGTCGTTGGCAACCACAAACAACTCCCTGATGATGGGATGGCGTGTTCTTCATGCAGGGTGCATGAGACGCACATGCACTGAGGGGCACGCACCTCGGGTATGCAGCACGCGACGATGGTGGTGTCGTCCACCCAGCTGTAGCTGTCAAACACGGTGTTCAAACTGCGCCCCTCCAGCGCTGGCCGCGCGGTGCACGTCGCCACGTCGGCGACCCACAGCGTCAGCGGCCCGCGCGGCGGGTCCGAGGGGCCGCCGGGGCTGCGGGTCGTGAAGGCGACATGCTTGCCGTCCGGGCTCCAGGTCACCTGGCGGGGTAAGTGGGCGTTGCTGCTGCCTTGGTTATCCTACCAAACCCCATCTGGCGGCGCACACGGGGTTCATGCGTGGGCGTGGCTACAGGGACAGACGCATTGCAATGGAAGCAATCTCAGAACGATCATGAGCGTCGCCATCCCCAAGGTCGAGCCTGGCAGAGGCGCTGCATGTGGGCGCCCCCGTCCCGACTCCGCTGCCAGCGATAGCCCTGCCCAGCACCACCCGCCCGCCGCTGCCGCCGCCGCTCACGTAGCTGATGCAGCTGCCCGGTGGGTACCCGGTGATCTCGCGCGCGTTGGTGCTGGGCACCATCTCGTCCGCGCTGACAATCGCCAGAGAGGTGTTGTAGCCCATGCGGCTGCGGCTGAACTGCTCCGCGTCGATCCTGATGCCTGGGGGGGTGCCACAGGATGAATCATGTGAATCCTGGGGCCGTTTAGCTGAGGGTTATGGGGCCGTTGTTGGGGGATGTGCATGCATATGGCGCATTTGCGCCAGAGAGCTGTTGATGTTGAGGACCCGCATGCGCGCATGCATGCTTGGTACGAAAAGCATGCGCAACACGCGGGAGTTGTTGCATGTAAGAGGGAGGAAGCCGCTGCTGCAGCTGCAGCTGCCGGAGGCCGGCCAAAACATGCTGCCGTGTCGTCAGCCTGCGGCGCCGGAATGCGTGCATGTGCACGCCTTTCCCGCCAAACTCAGAGCAGCGCTTCTCGTGTTGGTTGCCAGCTACGTCGCCAGACAAGGCGGCGTTCGGGCAAATTTCAGCACAGCGCAGCTTCAAAAGCAGCTACCTGCCAGCTTCAGCTCCGGCCGCGAGATCTCTGAGATGGGCGGCAGCGAGGGCGGCCGCTGCAGCTGCAGCAGCAGCCGACGGTCTGGGGAGAAAGACAACGACGGCTGCGGGGGCGCGTCCACTATCTGCAGGATCTCCGGCGGGGGCTGCCTGTAGCCGCTGCCGGGGGCGGCCGCGCCATTGCTAGAGGGGCGCGCGGCTCCGGCTGCGCGGCGCGGTGAGCGGGGGAGTGTCATATTGCAGGAGGGCGCTCCCCTACGATAGCAATGTGTCATCATCGGGGCAGGAGAGCAAAGCTGCATGCGGCTGCAATGTGAGGCTACGGTGGAAACTGCACCTGTATCAGCCTTTGCAGCTGACGTTGACAAAAGCTGGGAGGCCAGCACCCGAATGCGGCGCGCCATGTTTGTGCTGGGCACAGGCGCATGTCCGGTGCGCAACATCGGCGCCCCGCCGTGGTGCTGCAAGCTGCTCGGTGGCCCGCGCATGGCACAGCTATAGCGCAGCTGGGCCATGGAACGCCGTCCCAGGTGCTGCTGCATCAGGCGCGTCCCCGGACGCATGGGCGCGATCGATCACGGGCGATCTACTCAACTTCGACGTCGGATGAGGCTATCAAGCTAACAAAATCTGTGCCAATTATGCATGCAGGGTGCCCAGCATCGCTGAGGGTGCTTCATTGGCACGCTTCTGTCGAGTGACCCTGCTGGTGCTTGTGCTGCGCACGCTCCACCCAGATGATGCAAGCCGCACACTAAGAGGCTGCCCGCACCACAACGGTGGATCTGTGCTCTGCAACTCCTCATCACATATTGACTTGCGTGTAGAAGCTTCAGGCAGGTTGGCGCCTCAAATCGCCGCCCCAGTAAGATGAGCTGTTTGCGTGCTGGGGAGCGGGTGCACGTTGGATGGGTGCAGGTGTGGGGCAGCTTTACGACAACAAGGCCTGAGAGCTTGACAGTGAGGCTTCAACCACCCAAAAACACATAATAACAGGCGTGTGAGCGGCCTCATGGCCGCAACTTCTGGCGCCCTACACCTGCTGCGGCTGATGTTGCAGTCCAGGGCTGATGGACCGATGCCAGGCGTGACTAGAAAAGTTATACAGGGTAGAGTGTTACAAGACCAGCCTCGTGCACCACAGCCCCACCTGTGCTCCTGCACAGCCGCGGCCTCACCCCGCCACCACCGCCCCGCCCATCAGCCGCCGCATCTCACCCTCAACGCCGCTCGCAACGGCCCCCGTGCCCGCGTCAGGGCCGTGCCACGGCCACCCCAGCGCGCGCAGCAGCGACGCGACCAGGCGCGCATCGCCCCGCGCGGCGGCTGCGGAGAGGATCGCGTCCGGGCTCACTGCGTGCTGCAGGCCGCGGTCGCGGATGATCCGCGCCGCCCTGAGAAGCTGCCCGGAAGCCACCAGCTGCTGCACGTACGCCTCACTGTGCGCTAGCGCCCGCCGCCGGCCAGCGCCGGCG